GATGATGAATTATATATATATATATACATATATATATAATATGTACATATATATACATATACATAGGCCTATACATATATACATATACATACACACATATATACATATACAATTATCTTATTTTTCCCTCCACAGATATAAATACATAATTGATGAACAAGCATATGTTGAGTATTGGCCTGGAGTTGGTAGAGTTGGGAGGCAAGCTAAGAAACGATTGAAAAAATTAAATGGTTTGAAGAGTGACTTGAAAACAAACGGTTGTGCAGCTTAGGTCAAACAACTTGCATTATGTAAATACAACATGAATTCTTCTCGCTTCTATGCTTAAATACCGTACTCGCGCGAATAAGCGCCCTGTTTGAATAAGCGCCACTCCTAACGTGAAAACTGTCTTAAGCGCTTTGTTTGAATACCCCCCCCCCCCCCCCCCTTTAAAAAAACCCCCCCCCGAATTTAGAATAAGCACCCTTCGATTCCTTATAAAAAAAATACAGTACAGTACATCACCAACTTAATTTTCTGCTCAACTATTCGCATCTATCTTAGCATTGCCGGTCGGTCAGTACATCTATCCATCTATCGGTCTATTAGTCTCCATTAAGTTTAACATGGTTTTTAGTTTTGTTGCATCTTTATAACCCCTTTCTTGTTTTATTGCTACCCTTTTTAGATTTAGAACTACAGTATTTAATATCTAAAAATTAAAATACTGTATGGCCATTTTCAGTCAACAAAAATAAAATGACCTCATCACTCTTGTATCTAAGCAAGAAACCCTGCAATGATCCTGTTAACCTGAATTAGCAGATGGCCAACATGCTTACCACCAACACCACCATTACTTTCATCTGCTGTTCTGTAAATACCCTTTTCTACACCAAAACCATTCGTTTGTCTTCGATTAAAAAAAGTGTCCCTTGAATATTCCAATTTCCCATCAGCACCCCTTCAATTTTCATCTATTTCCATAAGCGCACCTTCAATTTCCACTCTTGTTTTCATAAGCGCCCCGTTTGAATAAGCGCCCCTCAGAAAGAGCCAAAAATATTTTAAGCACCCAGGCACTTATTCCCGCGAGTACATTACTTGCATTATATGTTTTGGAATGTCATTGTCTTTGTCTACAATCTTTATATTATGATTATTGAATATAAATGTCCTCAATGTCATTTCGTTCCGTTATTCGAATCAATATTCAATAATGTAGAATTATTTTATAGCTCAAACCAATAAAAGTAATAAGAACGGTTTTTAATAAACTACGCAAGGTGCGATGTAAAAGTAACAATAGCCTATGCCTGTACTATTCTCAGACTGCAGTTGATCTAGGTGGTTTCTATCCAGGGTGGGAACACATTCTATCGGGTTTCTGTCAACATTTCTAACTTCCGTCACACTAAACGGCTCATTGGTGTCCCTTTATTATAATATAAAATCATAGTTTAACCTAACACATGTGGTTTTTTCCTAGTAAAGCAAAATATCGACTTTATATTCTGAACAACACATTTCGTTTACACTGTATATATTAAACGAATTACTAATCATTCCCCCAGAAACCAGATGAATACAATAAAGATTAATTATTGCATAACAATGTTCTGCTGCTGTCATTAATCCATGTTAACAGTATTTTCTAATTTATAGATGATATTTGGAAAAAAGAAAGTAATTATTTTTAGATGGATGAAAATACAGTAGATTTATTTTAAGACAAGAAGATTTGAAAAAAAGAAAACTTGAATGCTCTATTACAGAAAATTAGTGTAATGTTCACTCGGGTCTAAACTACCGAAAAAAATTATAACTACAATAATGTGTCCTTGGTTATGATTGGGTCATCAAATGATTTTTAAAATTTGTTCTCATCCTCACATTTTTATGCACATTGAGATTTGATATAAGGCTCAATTCGTTGGGGAGGAAAACAAATATATGTATTTTCTACATATTAGTACACTCTATGAAATCGATTAAATAAGCCTTTGAAACCCCTAAATTTGGCATATTTTTTCGGGGTTTTGGCCCTGTACCACTTGACTCTCGTCGGAGACATCGTCCCTCCCCCCTCCACGTCGGAGATCTCGCTCCCCCCTCCC